CACAATGCACGATGGACTTACACCAACATGAATGGACCTCAGCCACACTCACATCAGTGGCCATGAGATGGAAAAGAGACAACCGAAATACGTGCACACGTGCACGCATACCGAGAACCGAACCTAGGGCATAAAATGCCACTCTACCAAAGCATGGCAAGGGATGACAGGTGGCATACAAACATGTAATTTCCAGCATTGAAACATGATGCTAAATGGTCCCGAAACGTGGAAATATGGCACCCGATGCATGAAATAAGCCCCGAAACTCAAAGCTAGGCACATGTATTGAATTATAACTATGCAAAGCAAGCATTATTTGGCCATGAAGTACAAAGACAGAGCCAAGGCAGTCCCAAAACATGCACATTTCTAGTTTAAAGCATGGCCAAAAAGTGCTAACATGATGGACTAAAATAGCATGCAAATTTGGCTAGCAAGCATGGTTTACATGGCATGTATATGAAGCGTATGAGAACTCATCAATCCAGCCAAAAATAGTGAATAAAACATGACAAAATATGCCCAAATAACCACTAAAATGCAGCCAACATGCGCGAAAATGATGAGCTCCTTTGAAAGGGCATGCAAGGGGTTACTCAACACATATATGATGGACACTTAGCATAGCAAAACCAACTCTGGAAATCAAATATAACAGTCCTAAAACTCACTAAAAAGGGCCTGAAATTGATCAATAAATCATACAATGAAAGGTCCTCTTGAAAGGCCTTGAGGAGGGTTGTTCCACACATGCATGAGGGACATAAAATATGGCCAAAAGGGCCTTGGAAAGAACTAAGGCAGACCTCAAAACCCTCAAAATGAGGCCTGGAACATGACTTCAAAGCATGCAAAAAGGGGTCCATTTGGAAGGCCAACAAGACCACCAAACAAGACAAAGAGAGAGGGGGTCACTCCCCTCTAATTTTGGCTCTCAAAAATGCATCCAACCCACTAAAAATCCACTAGATTTCAGTGGCTAAGAGGCCAAACCAAGGCCAATGCAAATACTCATATGCATAGCTCAAAACATGAAGACATAAAGCATGAAAGGGGGGAGATGACCCCAAACAGAGAAGTAACCTTAAGTAAACATGTTTATAAGATCAAAAGGAAACTTTTTCTAGTTTATGAAAAATCTCGAAAATGCTCACAAGTAGAACCAAGATATGATGCAAAATAGGTCTACAAAGAGGGATAAAGCATACAAGGATGTAGAAGGCCTCAAACAGAAAAGTGTCCTTAACCAATATTCAAGAGGAGCTCAAAATATGACACTTTTTATTTTATGACAAAGTCCAGAAATACTTGCAAGTAAGGCTAATCAATGGAGTAAAAAAATACAAGTTTAAGGGAAATAGGTGCTTACCCTTGAAGAGCAGCAAAGCTGGAGCTTTTGGACCAAGTTGGTGAACCTTCAACCCTTGAAAATCAGTCCCAAAGTGTTGGAATGGATGGAGGAGGTGTGGTGCTAAGGGTTGTAGTGCAAATGGTCCAAGAAAACTAGGGTTTGGAAGCTCAAGTGTAGAGATATAGAGAGAGAGAGTGTTGTAAGCCTTCAAAGGGGTTCAACCCTTGCCAAAGAAGATCAGCCTCCCCTTTATAGAGGAGAGGCTCTAAAATATCACAAAAGGGCTTCACATATCCTCCATACACTTGTATAGAGGATGGTCCAATTGCCTCACAATTGGCACAGCTGTGATGCCTTTAGAGAGGGCAAAAAGCAAGAAGCAGGCCGGCCAGTTCAAGTGGCCGGCCGGCCACTCCCCCTAGTCGGCCAACCAGGGATCAAAAGGTTCAAGAAGAATTTCTGGCCGGCCACCCCAAAAAGGTGGCCTCCCAGATGAGTGCAACACAACTGTATAGTGAAAAACCAGAAAATGTGACCCAAGAGAGAGAAAAACCAGCTTTTTAGCAAGGTTCAAAAGGGTCAAGATGAATTACTGGTCAGCCTACCCATATTGGTGGCCTTCCAGATGAGCACAACATAATGGTGGTATGAAAAGTCAGAAATTGTGGCTCAAAAGTGAGAAAAACTAGCTTTCTGTCAGAAAAATCGGCTTTTGGAGAGAGAAAAAGAGAAAACTAGTTTTTCAGGGGAAAATGTGGCCTCCCACCATCCTACCACCTCCCTAGCAATGAAAATAGGGTCCCTACCAAAAATGGACCAAGACGGATGCAAAACGAGGGTTCGGGGGCTAGAACACGCAGTCCAAGGCCCTAAAAACAGGCTGTTAGGCACCGGAAGTGGCGTATGACCATGAAGGTGGTCTCCCGGGCCACAGTGTCCCTCTAAAGGGAGGAAATAAGGGGTGTGCCAAAAACCGGAGCAAACAGAAGTAGTTAAGCGGTCCCGAATCGAGGCACACGGCCGACGGCTTCGAAAAATCGGAAATCGGGCTCCAAACGGGAAAAATGGCCTACGACCACGAAGTGTAGCCTACGGCCACTAAGAGATGGTCTACAAGACCTCTCCCTCCCTTGGGGAAGAGAAAACAGAGAAAACAGGACCCGGTTCGCAAACCGAGGTAAAGCATAAAAGAGCCCCGAAGTCCGGAGGCGAGGCTCGTAGCTGAGACTCCGCAACCTCAGAACGAGCACAATATGCAACATCACCAAGCGCTCAATTGGTGACGTCTGAGTCTTAAGGTCGGTCAAAAATAGGGTGTCTACAAGCATGATATGACCGAGCTAACTGTTGCCACTCTGACCGTGGTGACCGAGCTAATTGCAAAGCTCCTTTGGACCAGGCTAACTTCAAGGCTTTTTCTACTGTGGCCCACAGAACGGCCCATTACCCAGCTTGGCCCAATTTACATATAAATTACCCTCTCAATTGCCCATTAATTCCATCTGTGCAGCATGATAGGGATTACTTGTTACAAGCCGGGCTAAAAACAAATCGTGCAGTGTATTTTTTGATTGTTTTTAGTTCATATGATCAAATCTATGGATTCTCATTACCGATGGAGATGGTGGTCTTCTTTCAGTTGAAGCACTGGACGAACTTAATCGAAGGAACTGCTATTGTTGGAGAGATTATGAGACCTGCAAAACCCTAGCCCTAGATAAATGAGGAGCCGATTCGCGACGAATGAAGGATTGATGTGAGAGAGACAGAGGTCGCCGGCGACAGTAGCAGTGGTGATCGCCGGTGGAGATGGTAGTGAAAATGTTGGTGGGTTAGGGTTTGGGAAATTAGGGTTAGGGTTTGAAAAATTAGGGTAAGAATATTAAGGATAAGGGTAAAAATGTAACTTTATATTTGGATAAAATTGGAATTAAAAAAAAAAATAGATGGGGGGTCCAAAATAATTCATGGCGTGCTAATAGCACCACTCTTACCCTAAATGTTTATGATATATTTTTAAAGACTCTTTTAACCTTCACATTTTGTAAAGAAAATTAGTTGGAATATGAGCCGTCCCTTTAATTTTTAATTTCTTTTACTATACAAATTTTTTTCTTACTTTAATTCAACGAGCTCAATGGTTATTTTTTTTTTAGAATAAAAGATTAAAAAAAAGTAAATTTCTAGATAAAAAATTATTTGATATGAAAAGTAGGTCATATAAATGCTAATCATTTTTTTTTAATAGCAAAAAGAGCTTATTCTTTTCCTATCCAAAATTAATAAGCTTAAAAAACACTTTCAAAGTTAAATGAAGTCCCGTTCAAAAAAAAAAAAAATGTTAAATGAAGTCCGGTTTGATGTGTAAAATTTGTGTAAAATTTCATTTATTTTTGGGGGTTTATATATATATATATATATATTATTAGATTAAATGAAAATACAAGTTAAATTATTTTTTTCATTTACAATGTTAACTTGTTTTAAATACCTTCAAATTTTCCTTTTGTGTGCCAGTTAAGAAATTTAAAAGTATGTATTTATATCTATACTATTACAAAGTGAAGATTTGGTGAATCCAAGACCTTCATTAAGGACACAGTAACTTTATGAATAATATTAGAAAGCCCAAAAGATTTATCAAAATTTCTACTAAATATCTCACATGTGTGGGACCCGCATGGTGTGGATCTCATACCCACATTTGGTAAAAATTTTGATAAATCTTTTGAAATTTCCAAAATTTTTCTGACTTTATCATTTAAGCAACACAAAATATATATAATATTTGCTTTAAATCAAAATTTATATTTATATTTTACAAATTTACATTACATCATTGCTGGCTGGGAAAAATGACTTTTAGCGCGTTTTAAACAACGCCGCATATATGATATTAAAAAAACGCGCTAATTCCTTCAGTGATCTTCTTCACCAAACGTCGAGGACGCGGGCCCGACTCGCTATAAGTTTATGACGCTTTAAAACTTCGCTAAAATTAGTAAAAAAACGCCGCCTTAAATGCGATAAATAATGATTAAAATGATGTCATCCAATATTAGCACGTTTTTTTAAACGCCCTGTGATAGATTTTTTATTTTAAAAAAATGCTCCTTGGCACTGTGTGCACAAGTCAGACGTGTTTTGAAAAAAAAACGCCGTGATAGCTCTTTTTTTTAAAAAAAAAAAAATTGTCTGAAATCTGTTATATTTAACTAAAAAACATACCCCTGTAATAAGCTTGAAAATAATAATAATATGAATAAATTTTACAGCTACTTTCAATCATACTTGACTAAATATACCACTATTGAGCCATACATAGGTGAACTCTCTCTATACCTATAATCAAACAACTAATACACAATCAAAAAATAAAAATGAAAAAATAGGTTAAGTCATTTGTTTGCACATGCAGATGCAATGGAATTAGTCAAGCATATTACACATACATTACAATGCAGAATTAGGGATTCAGTATTCAATTAATCATAACTGGTTCATGACAACAAAACAATTTTGAGCAGGATTACATTCCCAAATCCCAGTCAACCACAAGGAATGCAGAAGAGCCGAGTGAAACAGTGGCGGCTGAACACCTTCTCCAACTTCTCATATAATTTGTAATTTTCTGCATCACTAATCCTTCACCTTTGTCATAAAATGAAATTTAGTAAACCAAAGCAAAGAAGAATTGAGCATGATGCCCAGTAGTTTAAATGGGAAAATCAAGAAAAAGAATCCCTAATACCGCTTCTCTATATTCTCCAATAGCATGGAAGGAAGAAGCTCTTAAATATAAACACTCAATGTTTGAGCTTTCAAGCTTAACCCAACGGATAAATCCTTGATGGCATTCCTACAACTACTGGGCATATCCAACTTAAGGATTAGAGTTAGCTGAGCTAAGCTGTTCCAATGGTTTAGTATAGATTTCAGACAAAAAAAAATAGCATTTGAATTATTCATCAATTTCAGACTAAGATTTCTACCTGACATATACAATTAGTATGGCTTTTTAAACATTAATTCAATGTTGTCTTTTAGATCTAGATTTCCGAAATGGATTTGTGAGTTTTAGTTGTGACCAACTAAAAATTAATGTAAAATTTTATCATACACCAACCTTCTACACTGAAGTTGAGCTGACTTCCAAGGCGGAGGACTGGATTCTGAGGGTATAAATGAGAACCAACTGCATTCTGAAGAAATTCACAATTTAACAGTGATTTTAAATTGCAAAGAGGACTACATAAAAAATACCAGAAAAGGCTTGCACTGAAAGCAGAATAAAAAAAATAATAAATTGAGGACTTATTTAAACATAATCTAGAATTATTATGAACTCATTGGAACAGAGAGAAAATCATAAATAAGCTCACATGCAGTCCAAACTAAAATTATCCATGTAAAAGTAAAACAATCTCAGACACAGAGAACTGAGTGATTCAAAAATAAATTTCTTATAAGGTTTTAATTTATAATTGCAACAAATAACTATCAACCATTAGATCTGGCTTCAGCATTCACTTAAAGAATTCCAAACCTCTATCGTTTGCTGCTTGTGTCATCTAGCACAAACAGAAGCCTCTCCTTACACATTCAACTGTATTGTCCTCAACAATATCCTAGTTCTAGACATCTAGTGTTTGGTGCTAATCTTGCACCACTATGCAGGTGTCTGCAAACAATCAAAAAAGTCAAACGCATGTATGGGTGCATACATGTGTGCACATGTGTATGGTGAGCGAAGAAAAATGCTACAAAGAGAATAGGGTTTTTAAGCAAAAATGACTGGACTAGTGTTTTGAATAATTTCTAGAATTACTGCAGTTTATAGAGGCAAGCTATTTTCAGGACATAATCATGCAAAAGTAAACATTTTCCTGCAGTTTTCTTGTACAATTTCAACACTCTAATATCCTATGAAAGAAAGGAATATCTGCTTTTAAAGGCACATATTTCCAGGATTTGAAGAGGATCAGTCGTTACCATAATGTAGTCCGACTTCTGCAGATTACTGTTGAATGATACTCGCACAAGAGCTCTACCATGTCGCACTGCCTTCAATCAGGAATAAGAATGCAGGAGTGAGAGTTACGGTATGGCCAGGCAAAAGATGGTTAGAAACATAGCTAAGACCATGTAGGTGCAATATATTTGTGCAGAAGATGGGAGTTTCCACATGAAAATGCTCTGACCAAACAGAAACATAAAAACAATAGACATCAACAAACCTTAAGGACCCTTGTAAATGCATGCTGCCTAGATACCAAGCCTTAAAATCATGAATACCTCTTCAACCAATTTACAAACATCGAGAGAGAGAGAGAGAGAGCTATTGGATTCTCATAACATTTAATTACGTAGTCTCCATAAGTCTTAGAACACATTTTGCACTGAAAGAACAAGATAAATTAATAAATTACACATTTAAAAGCAACTTACAAAATCTTATAACAATGGAAATGAACCATAGATTTGATATAAATCCTGACAGTAAAACAACAGAACACAGGGATGGCACAATACGAAAGCTTCTTTGTTCTAACAGAAGTTTAACATGCAAGTGAGCAAACCTTCATTCCTAAAATCCACAAGAAGGTTGTGTGCATTGTGACTTTGCTTTAGCAGTAGCAAAGGCTGTCCAGGATGCATTAGTGTAATCCCATACCTGATCAAAGTTAATGTCGAGTTTCAGTAAGTGACAAATGGTGGGCCAAAATAGACTATGCAAAACCAAAACAAACTGAATGGTGTAACAACTTGCAAAGGCATCAACCATTACTAATGCTATCTACTCTAGGGTATGGAGGATGTAGCATCAACGCTTTATCATGTCTGTACATATACTAGCAAGTACAAGCAGATGGAGGTGTAGTTGAACTTTATTGTTTTGAATTGAAATGCTAGCTAACAGTTTGCTAACCAGCACTAACATCTCACTAGATTTTTTCTATTACTGCTCAACTATCTACTAGAGTCATATTTTGACATACTAGTGAAGGAACAAGAAGGAAAACTACTAGACATTTCAGTTATACAAATATAACCTAAACTGAAATGGCAATCAATGAATGATACAAAAGTAATCGATGTGGTGGTACAAAAACTAAGCACAATGTCACCCCACTTGAGAAAAGAAAAAAAAATTACATGTTTTTTAAAGGATAAACACTATTATCATGTAATGCTATAGATGAACCAGACAATTATGATGTCTGGAAAACAAGCTATGAGACGTACTTGTGTTTATCTTGTCCTGTTCTTGAAGGCTCTCCTCCATACCAGAATTGAAGAAGAAGAATCACTGAACTGAACTGAAGAATCGAGAGATATTTGTGTGTGTGTGTGTGAGAGAGAGAGAGAGAGAGAGCGAGGAGTGAGTGAGAGATTTGAATGAGTGAGAAGGAGACGGCAGTGTAGGGTTTTCAAAATAAAAGTTTAGAGAGATAGAAGAGGGTGTGAAGAGAGACAGGGAAGAGTGTGTAAAGAGAGATAGGGTTTTGGAGGCGTTTTTTAAAGGTCTTCTATTTTTAAAACAGTACTGTTTTGCCTAACAACAAAGGCGACGTTTAAAAAACGCCGTTAATTATAAAAAAAGGTGACGTTTAATTAAACGTCGTTAATTAAACGCCGTTAAATCCTCACTTTCCTGTAGTATTGAGTGACACACACCAACTAGTTTATTATTGTTGTACGTGGTTGACGAACTCCTAAAAGTTCTACAAAGAAAAACTCCATTTGCTTCTATTAAGTAGTGTAAATGGACCAAATTTTCAAATTTATACATACAATAATAAAACAAGCAAACAACCAAAAAATCTCACTTTTGCTGTGCCTTTGCTGAGCAAATACTACAAAAAAAACTAGGCAAATAATAATCTTGCCGCAGTGAAACGCAAAGATGTAGATTTGGTCTTGTCATGTCTACCACGCAATTTTGTGTTCCATACGTAACGAGTTTTTGCCATTTCTAAAGTTTTCAATTTATTTACTTTTTTTTTTTTTTTTTGATTTATATTGACTTCCATTAATGGAGAGTATAATTGAAAAATGATTTCTTTCCGGTTGGTGATAGAGAGATAGTGATGGGTTTAGTAGTTCACTCGAGTCTATCTTGATAATTTAAATTATATAGGTTTTTTTTTTTTTTTTTGAACAGTTTCAAATTGTTTAGTTGGTATCGAGTATCAAGTAAATCATATTAAAATTCTAATTGAGTTGATTAGATATCACTAATCATACTATCATAATTTTTTGAGAGACTTATTTATGTCTTTTTTCAAACACTTATGGTAGGCTAAGTCCTGTGTAATTTCTTATAGAGTCTCAAGTCCTATTTAGATAGGAATGTATTCCACAAGATCCCATATAAACGTAACGTGACGTGAGACTTACATAAACGTAATATAACGTGACATCTATATAAACGTAACGTAATGTGACACCTACATAAACGTAACGTAACGTGTCACGTTATGTTTTACAAACTTAATGAGTTTTTATTTTTTTAAATTGAATGTGAAAATGTTGCTGGTTTATGTTGGTGTCACGCTACGTTTCATATAAATATGATCTATGGTAGCATTCAATTTCCTATATGCCATTGATCATATGTGTCCACTACAAGGAAAAGCAGTTTTGGCGACTAAAAACCAAATTTTCGTCGCTGAAAGTAGCACAATTGACGACTAAAATGGAATTAGTAGCCAAAAGTGAAGACTTTTGGCGACTAAAAGAGTTTAGTAGCCAAATGTATAGTTATTGGCGACTAAAAACAAATTTAGTTGCCAAATGTATGGGTTTTAGCGACGAAACGTTTTTTAGTAGCCAAAAGTGACGGTTTTTGGCGACTAAAATAATTTAGTAGCCAAAAGTATAGGTTTTGGCGACTAAAAAACAGTTTGGTCGCCAATTCTACGTGTTTTGGCGACTAAAAATAGTTTGGTCGCTGAAAGTGAAGCTTTTTGGCTACTAAAAAAAATTTAGTAGCTAAAAACAGGCAATTGGCGACTAAAGTTCAGTTTAGTAGCTAAAAGGGGACGTTTTTGGCGACTAAAAACAAGTTTAGTCGCCAAAAATGCTACTTTCAGCCGGAACTTATTTTTTTAGCGACTAAAAAATATTTTAGTAGCCCAAAATTACATTATTAGCGACTAAATAATATATTTAGTCGCCAAAAGTGGCTTCAATTTTTTTTAGTAAATAATTTATTTTTTACATAAATTATATTGCATAAAAATAATTATATTTATATATATAGTTTTATATTAATACGGGTCAATATAGTATATAAATAATATATATTGCATATATATTCATGTAATGTTGTAGTGGTATAGTGGACGGAGTGTGTTGCTAAAGGTTTAGAAGGTAGAAGGTTGGTGGTTCGAATCTTAGACAAAGTAGGAAAGTTAGCTTCTTTTTTTTTTTTTTTTTCCACCGAACAACCTTTGGCGACTAAACTATTGGTCGCCAAAAGTATTTGTTTTGGCGACTAAACAGTTTGGTCGGCGTTCCACCAACTATTGGTGACTAAAAGATTAGTCGCCAAATGTATAATTTTAAACAGTGGAATTGAGTGTTGGCGACCAAAACTTTGGTCGCTAATGACCTGTGTTTTTGCCGACTAAAACCTTTTTAGTCGCTAAAACCTTCTGCGACTATTTATTCGCGACAAAACCGGCGACTAAAAAATTTAGTCGGGGAAGGTAAAAAGGCGACTTTTGGCGACTAAAAATGGACCTTTGGCGACTAAAAATTTAGTCGCCAAAGGTGATTTTTCTTGTAGTGGTCACGTTACGTTTATGTAGGTGTCACGTTACGTTACGTTTATGTAGATATGATCAATGGTAGCATTCAATATAGGTAACATTCAATTTCCTATATGCCATAGATTATAGGTGTCACGTTACGTTTATGTAGGTACCACGTTACGTTACGTTTATGTAGATATGATCTATGGTAACATGGTTTTACTATTATTTATGATATTAACAACTAATATTGAGGGTAAATATGTCAATAAACTTCCCACAGGACTTATGGGAACATAAGTTTTTTAGTAGAACTATATGTAGTATAAGTCTCCCTAATAAGACTTATAAATAATTTTTCCTAATCTTTTTTAATAAAAATATATGAAAAATATGATTTTGAGCATAAATCATTAATTTTTAAGACAAATATGATTCGATCATAAAACTATCAATGTTCAATCAATCAATCTGATAGTTTCATAAATGATTTACTCAACAAACTAATTTTGAGATAGATATGAGGTGTGCCCATCAAGTCCTATCAATACCTACTCAACTTTTAATTGATAACTGGAATTTTATTTACACAACATAATTTCCTCCTTACATCATTTTCCTTTCACACTCATTAAAAAATTTGAAAATATTATTTTATCTCTTAAGACCTTTTATAATTCCAAAAATAATTTCATCCTTAATCTTTTTCTTCTCTTTACCCTCTTAATTTTGTAAATCCTAACCCACATTCATTATTATTTCCAGCCACCCTAACCCCTTCCTTATCCTCTCCGCTGCCCCTATTCATTCTCCGACCACCGCAACACCTTTCTAGCATGTCCATTGGAATGAAAAATTACATTATGAGACCTTAATTTTTTTCCCCCCATGTTTGTGCTTTGTTTAGTGAACTAACTGTAACAATGGTCACCACTGTTTACCGATAAACTACCGATTACTGCTAAACTGAGACTGATTATGATTGGTAATCGAACTGATTGAAATATTGGACTAACTGACTGGAATATGAAATTGAATTGATTAAGTATACCTGTTATATTGCATTTCTATCTGTTGCCTGTTTGATTATCTGTCATGTTTTTATGTTTAAACTGCAAATTGAAGGCCTTATCGGCGGCCGAACCGAAAATTGATTAGTGTTTTACGTTAATTGGTATTTATATGATTTTATAGTGTATTTATCTGAAATTCGATGTGGTATGGTTAAATTAGATTAAATAATATTGTATTACAAAGTACATGTATTTATCAACTTGCCATCCTTGATGACCCACTACCTCAACATATTGAGCCTTGTACACACTTAGACAAACATTTTCTTCATCCATTTTGAGAGTTCTAGCCGACCAAGAGAGAGTGAGGAAGAGAATTGAATTGTTCTAGAGAATTGGCTTGATAGACTTGAAGAGATTGTAGGAGATTTGCCTAATTGAACTTCTACACTTGTAATTGAAGATCTAGGTAAGGAATTCAACCTCTTAACTGTGTCTTTAAGTTGATTCTTGCATGGTTCATGTCTAATTGAGGAGCTAATTCATGATTTAGTTCGAACATGTTGAATTATAGCTGAATTCATGCATGCATGCCTATATTACTGAATTTTGAGTTGATTCCATGGAAAATTGTCACATACATGCTCATATTTATGTTAAGTCCATAAATTCATCTTGTCTTTGAAGATATTAGCTCAATAGAGCATGTATTTGAGGCTTGTAAGCTGTTTAACTTCATGCATGTTGCATGTTCATCTTGTTTATGAAAATTGGTTTGAAATTGGATTTATTTAAACTACCTTTGGGCTTTGATTTTTACAATTGAGCTTTGAATCATGTTAAACTATGAGTTTTGAGGAGTTTTTCTGGAAAATTAGCCCAAGGGGATTGGTTTTGATGCATTAAAACTTGGTTTTGAGCTTGAGGTTCAAATCTGGAAATTCCAGATTTTGAACTCACACTCGAGTGGGATGACTGGCGCTCGAGCGTGAAATTCGTGCTCCTAGCACTTTACGCTGTTTTGATGTTCGCTCGAGCGGAAGAATTGACGCTCGAGCGGGATCTTGTGTCTTACGCTCGAGCGGGTGTCGAGCGCCCAATCGAGCGTGATTTTCACCTATCCAGCACTTTTGACTGTTTTGAAGTACGCTGGAGCAAATGAGTATATGCTCCAGCGGAAGCCTTTGTCTGCATGTCCGCTCGAGCAGATTAATCTACGCTCGAGCGGGAACCCTGTTTTTTGAAAATGCTTTTAAAGTGCACCCTTGCATCCTCATTTCATCCTAGGCATCCTTAGGCCTAGTTTAAGGCATCTTAATGAGGATATAGATGTAGAACCACACCGAGGCAAATTAGGGATTAAATTATTATCTTTCCCAACTGTGTAGCTTAATGTGTGTTCAATCTGTACACTGTGTAGGGTTGGCGACTGGGGACGCGCTCTAGCATACCGTAGCCCGAACTCTGTGAGTAACGATTGTGTAAAGATATGTTCACAAATGAATATCTTCTG